GGGATAGGTGAAGTAGTGGATGTAATATATTGGGACTTCCAGAAGATGTTTTGCAATGTAGTGCCTGTTGGGTTATTTAAGAACCCAGATTCTTGGAGGTAGAATATTACTGTGGATAAAGAATTGGCTGAGTAATAACTGACAATTTGGATAAATGGTTGTTTTCAGGATAATGTGTGACAAGTGGAGTGGCATGGGGATCAATGCTGTTGTCACTACACCTATGTATTTTCTATGTGATAGAAAGCAATAGGTGATAATGCATGAGGGGAGAGAAGTTCGTGGAGTAATGGTTATGTGTGATCAAAAATGTTGCCATATGGAATGTGAAAATGAGAGATCATTCACATTGGAGGAACTGAATATTATTTAAAGATTTCAAAGCTCAACAAAAAATACTGCACCTGTTTCAATATTACACACTGGGTGACAACCATTCTCTATTTTAGTTTTGGTCAGGACATTGCTGTAGTCAAGTCAACTCTCCTCGTATTAAAGCTTAACTTTCATTTGTTATTCACTGGCACACTCTCTCTCTAACAGTGCACCTACTTTTGTGTTCCTTTTTATTTTAGTAATTCTGAATTGTCCTGACAATGGAAGGGTTAAATTTCTTGTCAATTTAAATGTCTTTTCGATTTAATGTTGATGTTACTTGCCTGCAAAACCTAATCTTTTTAAATTTACATTCCAAATTGGGTAAGAGAAGCTTAGCCAAGCTTCAATATACCTGTGTAGTAGTTTACAATAAGAAATAAGTAAAATTTGTAATGAATCTCTTGGGAAGAAAAGTGAGCACTCGGTTTGAAATATTCAATGTTTACAGTTTATGGGAACTTGAGAGACTGTGCTTAGCTGCCCTCTGCTGGGAGAAGTAATGGCAACTTCTAATATTTAGAAATGCTGAAGGTTGCATGTTTTATGTTCAAGTGCTAGATGTGAGTTGACTGTTGCATATTATCGCTGCCCTCCCCAACCCATCCACTTGAAAATAAAAGGAATTTTTATTTCTACATAGACCATCTTGTTAAACCCTTGTTCTAAGCCAATTTTACTCTGTGTACAAGTAGATGGCTTTTTTATGAAATGGGGAAACTCTGCAATCACCACCCTTGAACTTAAGTGGCCGTGCCCCTCAAGCCTTTAATGTGTATTTGCAAGTGATGTTCTTGTATAATTTGTGCTGGACTAACAGACAAACATGTGACTTGAACATCAAAATGTTAAATAGCATTACATGAAAATTTAGCATGGGCATTGTCTAACTCCTCCTAGCTGATTGATGCTCCCCTTGAGCAGTCTCCCACCTGGACCACATCCCCTTGACATTGAAGCAAAGAAATATAACGTCATCCTGCTAGCCACCTTACACCTGATGTAGCTTGTTGCACTCCTCAGTGCAGTTTCCCAACGTATTTGTATTTTTACCTTGTCTCTGCTTTATTTTAGGCTCAATTTAATTTCTTCTTCCATAACTATGTTGTGGCCGAAGATATGGGGATGAGAACAGCTGCTGAATTAGAAAAAACCATGAGCATATTGAAATTGGTTGATGGGAAAGACTGATTCCTGTAGATAAGCATCAGTGAGGAGAGAGGTTTTTTATTTTATTGAAACAAGAATCCTTCATCACAAGAGTGGTTCAAGTGGAGACTGGTTCATGTTCTAAAAGAACAGATGAAAATTTGAGGCAGGCATTAATATTAGCAAAGAACAGTGGTGGAATGTTGCTAGCTTAACTGCAAAAAGTGAGCATGGAACAGTTGGGTCATTGGGGCATTGGTATCTTGCACCTCCTGTGGAGAGCTTCATCTTTCATACTGTCCTCTTGCTTTTTGAAAAACAAGATCTAAACTTTTAGGCAAGTTTCTCACTTGGTGTGGTATGCACTTTTTTGTGTGAAGTGTCTACCAGCAGTCTTGTGTATTTTGGTAAACTAGGTCAGTTTAAATTTAATCATGAGCACTGCAGTGAGTAGTTCAAAAGTGTTTTGCACCAACTTATTGAAAAACTTGTAGCAGGGGGATGGGGACCTGAATTGTAGCTCCAGTGTACAGGAGGTTGAGAGTAGTGAGGTCATGAATAAGGTTTCAAAGTCGCAGGACTGTACCGGCAGGCAGGCACGAAGGTGGTTTGAAGTGTCTGCTTCGATGCCAGGAGCATCCGGAATAAGGTGGGTGAACTTGCAGCATGGGTTGGTACCTGGGACTTCGATGTTGTGGCTATTTCGGAGACAGGGATAGAGCAGGGACAGGAATGGTTGTTGCAGATTTCAGTAAGAACAGGGAAGGTGGTAAAAGAGGGGGAGGTGTGGCATTGTCAGTCAAGGACAGTATTATGGTGACAGAGGATGTTTGATTAGGACTCGTCGGCTGAGGTTAGAAACAGGAAAGGAGAGGTCACCCTGTTGGGAGTTTTCTATAGGCCTCTGGAAAGTTCCAGAGATGTAGAGGAAAGGATTGCAAAGATGATTCTGGATAGGAGCAAAAGTAACAAGGTAGTTGTTACGGGGGACTTTAACTTTCCAAATATTGACTGGAAACGCTATAGTTCGAGTACTTTAGATGGGTCAGTTTTTGTCCAATGTGTGCAGGAGGGTTTCCTGACACAGTATGTAGATAGGCCAACAAGAGGCGAGGCCACATTGGATTTGGTACTGGGTAATGAACCAGGCCAGGTGTTAGATTTTGGAGGTAGGTGAGCACTTTGGTGATAGTGACCACAATTCAGTTACATTTACATTAGCGATGGAAAGGGATAGGCATATACCGCAGGGCAAGAGTTATAGCTGGGGGAAAGGCAATTATGAGGTGATGAGGCAAGATTTAGGATGCATAGGATGGAGAAGGAAACTGCAGGCGCTGGGCACAATTGAAACGTGGAGCTTGTTCAAGGAACAGCTACTGCGTGTCCTTGATAAGTATGTACCCGTCAGGCAGGGAGGAAGTGGTCGAGCGAGGGAACCGTGATTTACTAAAGAAGTTGAATCTCTTGTCAAGAGGAAGGAGGAGGCTTATGTAGAAGTGAGGCATGAAGGCTCAGTTAGGGCGCTTGAGAGTTACAAGTTGGCCAGGAAGGACCTAAAGAGAGCTAAGAGGAGCCAGGAGGGGACGTGGGAAGTCTTTAGCAGGTAGGATCAAGGAAAACCCTAAAGCTTTCTAAAGGTATGTCCAGAATAAAATAATGACTAGAGTAAGATTAGGGCCAGTCAAGGACAGTAGTGGGAAGCTGTGCGTGGAGTCTGAAGAGATAGGAGAGGCACTAAATGCATATTTTTTTTGTCAGTATTCACACAGGAAAAAGACTGTTGTCGAGGAGAATACTGAGATACAGGCTATTAGACTAGACGGGATTGAGGTTCATAAGGATGAAGTGTTAGCAATTTTGGAAGGTGTGAAAATAAGTCCCCTGGGCCGGGTGGGATTTATCCTAGGATTCTCTGGGAAGCTAGGGAGGAGATTGCAGAGCCTTTGGCTTTGATCTTTGTCGTCATTGTCTACAGGAACAGTGCCAGAAGACTGGAGACAAGCAAATGTTGTCCCCTTGTTCAAGAAGGGGAGTAGAGACAACCCTGGTAATTATAGACCAGTGAGCCTTACTTCGGTTGTGGGTAAAGTGTTGGAAAGGATTATAAGAGATAGGATTTATAATCATCTAGAAAGGAATAATTTGATTAGGGATAGTCAACATGGTTTTGTGAAGGGTAGGTCGTGCCTCAAACCTTATTGAGTTCTTTGAGAAGGTGACCAAACAGGTGGATGAGGGTAAAGCGGTTGATAAGGTTCCCCACGGTAGGCAATTGCAGAAAATAGAGGCATGGGATTGAGTGTGATTTAGCGGTTTGGATCAGAAATTGGCTAGCTGTAAGACGACAGGGTGGTGGTTGATGGGAAATGTTCATGCTGGAGTTCAGTTACTAGTGGTGTACCTCAAGGATCTGTTTTGGGGCCACTGCTGTTTGTCATTTTTATAAATGACCTGGATGAGGGTGTAGAAGGATGGGTTAATAAATTTGCAGATGACACCAAAGTCGGTGGAGTTGTGGATAGTGCGGAAGGATGTCGCAGGTTACAGAGGGACATAGATAAGCTGCAGAGCTGGACTAAGAGGTGGCAAATGGAGTTTAATGCGGAAAGGTGTGAGGTGATTCACTTTGGAAGGAGTAACAGGAATACAGAGTACTGGGCTAATGGTAAGATTCTTGGTAGTGCGGATGAGCAGAGAGATCTGTGTCCATGTGCATCGATCCCTGAAAGTTGCCACCCAGGTTGATAGGGTTGTTAAGAACGCGTACGGTGTGTTAGGTTTTATTGGTAGAGGGATTGAGTCTCGGAGCCGTGAGGTCATGTTGCAGCTGTACAAAACTCTGGTGTGGCCGCACTTGGAGTATTGCGTACAGTTCTGGTCGCCGCATTATAGGAAGGATGTGGAAGCATTGGAAAGGGTGCAGAGGAGATTTACCAGGATGTTGCCTGGTATGGAGGGACGGTCTTCTGAGGAAAGGCTGAGGGACTTGAGGCTGTTTTCGTTAGAGAGAAGAAGGTTAAGAGGTGACTTGATAGAGACATACAAGATGATCAGAGGATTAGATAGGGTGGGCAGTGGGAGCCTTTTTCCTTGGATGGTGATGGCTAGCACGAGGGGACATAGCTTTAAATTGAGGGGTGATAGATATAGGACAGATGTCAGAGGTCGGTTCTTTACTCAGAGAGTAGTAAGGGTGTGGAATGCCCTGCCTGCAAAAATAGTAGACTCGCCAACTTTAAGGGCATTTAAATGGTCATTGGATAAACATATGGATGATAATGGAATAGTTTAGGTTAGATGGGCTTCAGATTGATTTCACAGGTTGGCGCAACATGAAGGGCCTGTACTGCGCTGTAATGTTCTATGTTCTAAAGTTTTGAATGTACTGTTACTTGTTTCTGGAATAAGCTTTAACTCCCCTTTTTCTATATTTTCAATATGAATTTCAATTGTAACACTTCATGTTTTGGTAGGAGTCAGCCAAGGTTTCAGAACTGAATCCTAATGCCAAAGTTTGGGCAAATCATGTGCTAAATCTGGATGCTGCTGCAAGCAATGCCTGTGAAACTTGGGAAGAACAATTGGAGGTTCCTGATACTTGCCCAGAAGGTATGGTACTTTTCAGGTGTCTTCTCTCATTTTGAGACAATTCTTGGAGTGTAATACATGGTTGTGGCCAGGTGGCTTTTCAGAATTAGTTGCACCTAATATCTGTTTTGTCATGGATTCAATATTTGAGTAGGAACTTTGTGCTGCCACATAATGCCAGTAGAGACATCAATGTTTTTGGGATCACTTGCCTGACTGTAGGTCTTTATACTCTTTCTTGACTTGCCTATCTAAATGACTCTTCTGTGCTCCCTGCCCATACTTCAAAAGCTTACCGTTTTTTAAACAGCCTTTGGCACATGCTTTATGCTTGCTGTGTCTTGTCAGTTTTTTAATTGTGCATTGGAATTTCCACCTAATGTTTCTATGAATGTTGATTCCTGAAATGTAAGACTTAGTCAGGGCATTTCCAGTGCTGTGGTGGTGGAAACTAAAATGACTAGTGGGTGTAGTGTCAAGTATAGAGAAACCAGAATTTTTGAAGTAGGATTTAAGTGTGGAAGTAGATTGTATAATCCCTGCCATGTATTATTTGATGCAGCCTAGCTGATCATTACTCAACGCTATGTAGACCTTTCTGCCCGATGCCCAAATGCTGGAATCTGCCTTGGATGCTCAATCAAATGCATTCATAACTGTTTTAGGTAGTAGGGAATTCTAACATTAACTATTATTGTATCCTGAGACCATGCTCCAAGTTATAAATTATCTATCTACAGAAGCCAACAAGCCCCTCCAATTTTGTTTGAATCAAATTAACCCTATTTCTTAACTCTAGAGAACATATTCATTCCACTTTAATCATCCCATCTAGGACAGCCTTCATCGTAGGGATCAGCGGTGGAAACTTTGCCCTTCAACACAGGAATATTTATAGAGCCCAAAAGGATGAAGGAAGGTTCAAGGGCAGTTCTTATGGGTTTGTATTTAACATTGAGGATTTAAACTTCAATGAACTGGCTTGGATTCCCCCCCTGTCATTGTTGTTCTCCTTTTGTGCCTCCCACCAGAAAGAACATCTGGAAAATCACTTTTCAGCCAATTGAGCTTATGGTGTTCTGTTTTGAGCATTATTTTCAATGGAGATAGTTTTTGTTTTCTATAACAAGGAGCCTACTGAAGCACAGACTGTACAAGAATTGCCTCCAAGGTAGTGAAACCAGATTGTGTCTTGTTGATATAGCATCTGGAAGCCTCATTGCTGTGTTCTGTGAGCAAAATGCACCTGGGAAGATTCCAGTGACCTATTTAACAAAATATCTGGTGACTAGCCACTTCATTCCACACCTCCTCTTTCCTTCAAGAACTAATGGGTATAGTCTATAGAAAGCTGCAGCACAAGGTTTGGGATCCTAGTGCAAGAATCTTGGCTTATGATTTTAGTGGCTAACACAAGGCAGAATTGGATGGTGGCCCTTTATCCCAAAGGGGATGGAATATGAAATGGGGAGGGAGATTTTGCTAAAACTATACAGAAAACGAAGCTATACGAGGTGCTAGTCAGACCACAGCTGAAATACTGAGCATTTTTGGGCCCCTTTTGAGGAAAGCTCGAGTGGCATCGGAGGGAGTCCAGAGAAGTTCATTAGGCCAGTGAAGAAATTTCGAACACATTTTTGTGGGTTTGACTTGTAGTCATTTGAATTCAGGAGAATGAGAGGAGACTGTATTGAAATAAGATTGTCCTGAGGCTACACACAAAGACCTGAGGTTATTTGTCCTTGTGGGACAGTCTGGGATCAGAGGGCAAAATCTCAGTTGTCCAGTTAGGATGCAAGGCATTTCTCAAGGGTTGTCAATCTGTGGAATTCTTCACTGCAGATGCTGTTGAGACTCATTTAAGTACATTTCAAGATAATGGACTTTTAATCAGTATGGAAATTGAGGATTATGGGGAAAAGGCAGGAAAGTGGAGTTGATTATCAGAACAACCTTGACCTCTCATTTGGGAGCAGATTCAATGGACTGCAAGGCCTACTTCTGCTCCATGTCTTTTGGTCAGTAATAGTTAATTAACATAATTGCTTTTAATCATGGAGTTGATCTGTTCTAAGTGGAATGATTTTCCCCTGTTTTCTGTTAGTTACGGGTAAACATTTCAATTTTCCAATATAAAACTTCATCCAGAAAGATGCAGTTTTAATTTTTTTTTCACAAACTTGGTTAGTTGTCCATTATATTCCAAGTGTTTCATACGAAAATCAAATTGGCTAGAATAAGTAAAACTGACCATGGGGTAGTGGTACTATAGGAAAGACTACTGTTTTTGATCCCGTCATGGTCCTCGGAGCTTTTGATAGTGCAGGCGTAAGCTTTAAAGCAGAAGTCAGAAATCCAGAGGCAGATCTAAAATTTGCCAATAAAGGTGAGTTGAGAACTTGATTTGAGCAGTGTGTGGCATGCATTATGTGAAAGAATGCTTTGCTTTGAAATTTGACTTGAGTAATGGACATACAATAATTAGAAATATACTGCTTTGTTTGACAGGATTTGAGACCAATGGTGATGCTGAAAAGTCATTTCAAAGTTCATCACAGGAGCCCTCTTTGACAGTTCCTTCTGCTGAACAATCAGATTTGGATACTGTAACACTCCAGTGCTCTGACTCCTTCTACTCAGAATATGAGACCATACATGGAACCAGGCAGGGAGGTAAAAAAAAAAGCAAATGGATTCTACTGCTCTCTTTTTAGAAAAGCAGCTGTTATGCTATGTCCTTTTGACTTCCTCATTGGTAGCTGCAGTTGGAATTGCTCTGGCATCTGTTTTCAATTGCAGTTTTTGCCAGTTCTAATGGACAGTGGATTTCTGAGATTGATTGATTAGCATCTGAATTTGTGTTCACATTGGAAAGCATTAGCTACGTGATCTCCTTAGTAACACTTCATATGTTGTTTATTTTAATGACATTGGGCTTGAATTTCTTGGTCAGTCGAAATTAACCTCTTGTCAAGACTACTAGGTGCTGTGAATGGTGTGGTCATTCATTTGACATCAATGTGTTGGTGTATTTAAACTGTCTTTATTGAATTTGTCTTTGTGCAACATTCCCATAACTCTTAATTGCTTTGTTTAAAACTAACCAGGTAACTTAATGTCATACTCTTCTGATGAATGCAGCATTGTTTTAAACACTGGGGCAATCTTTTGAGTATTGGTGAGGTTTGGATTTTAATCCAAAGTAAGTCTTTGCTATACGAAAGTTTCATTTATTGACTTCATCCATGGTACTTCATAACATAGTGAAAGGTTAATCCACAGCCTGCTTCTGGTATTAATTTTTCCATTTGCATGGAAATTTAAACATCAGCATGCAAATAGTCTGGATTCTTTATGCTCCAGTCTACTGAGTTTGTTGTGCTCTCCTAACAAGTTAGTGATGGAGTCATCCATTGCTTTGGGTATTCAACAAAAAACTAGTTTGAACTCTTTGATATCATCCTTTCTCTTCCCCCTTCGTATGGTTGGGAGAGCAGTGTTGAACTTAAAAGCCTGTGTCATCACAGGAGAATCGTGACCTAATTTGTGGAGGCTGACTGAGGCCGACAGTCAATGTGCAGAGTTATGGATGTTTGTACTGCAACTTTGTCCCTGGCATAACTTCCCATTGTTGCAGGGGGTGGTATGCCTGTTTTTAGTTGACTCTCTCAACTTTCAAATTGGAGTACATTCATACTTTTAACAGAAGTTCTCCACCTCCCTTAAACAAGGCGAGTAATGCTGTTTGACCAACATTTTGTAGCACCTGAAAAGACTAAACAGATCCAAAACTTTTCATTGCACCCTCCTCGGTCACTTTCTCCATGATTGTTGTGCAGTGGCAGCAGTTTGTGCCACCCATAAGATGCACTGTGACCACTTGCTTGAGCTTTTCCCTGTAACAGCTCTTTCTAAAATCTGTATTGTCACCCAGAAGGGCAGTGGCAACTGATACATGGGAATCCTATCTGCAATTTGTCTCCAAACCCCCTCTTCATCCTGACATAACTAAATTGCTGCTCTTCAACTTGCCAAATCAAAATCCTCAAACTACTTCATAACACTGCAGTTTTATCTTATCTCGAGGATTGTAACCGTTAAAGATGGCAGTATGCTACCCTGTTGATGGCAAGTAGCTGACATAATCAGACTTTAAGAAAGCCTTACTTGGAAGGTGTTAGTTACTAGTTGCTGCATTGGATTTGCTCTCCAGATTTCAATTTTTAAAATTTGATCATGAGGTTTACCTGCTTGTCACTAATGAAAACCAAACAATGGAACCTGGATAATTTGCATTAAGTGGCACCATGTTAGATTAATCAAAGACTGATGTGTGCAAAGATACTATCCTAGACAAACTAACTTGTTTGAAATTTTGGCTTGTAGGTGGTGATCAAACTCTATTGGAACAGGAGACAGTTGGTCAAGAAGACCTTAGAGAGCTGCTGAAAAAGACACTGGAGTTCTGTTTGTCTCGGTGAGACCTTTAATTGTATTTCATGAATATTTAGCTTTCATTATAACTGCATCGAAAATCGACCTACTGTTGCACGTTTTTCCTCAACATCCAAAAACAATGCTTTCAGTATCAAGTACTGTACAGCAGCTATATGCAAAGCTTGAATGAAAAATCTTAAATAGCAAGAAAGGATCTTAGGGATGTTTTTTTAAGCATCTATTTTCACCGTATTCGGAACTGTGGTTTAGGTGAATAAATGGGATTGATCCTGCAGATACCTGATTAATGACTGTCAAGATGTTTGCCTGTACATGGGAAAGTTGCTTTCCCCTCTAAGTAGGTGTAGGATAGCCATGTCCCTGCTAAATTACAGGAGTGACCATGGCAAGATTAAGTGGTTTCACTTCTGTATGAGACCCAATGTTATGGCTAATGGTGGAACCAGCTAATTTTTGCCAGTGATATGGTAAAACTAGAACCTCGGGACAATGGTTGCCTGCAGGTGGTTTTTTCCAGAAGAAATCAAGTTCATTCTAAACATGCATGAGGTGGCCAACTGGAAAGCACCTAGTTCTTGTTTGCCATTGAAGCTGAAAATGGGAAGGTTCTTGAGACATTTGAAAGTGCAGGGCCTCCACTTGGGTAAATCACTGCTAATATTTAGGCATGTAGTATCTTAACACATTTCTTAATTTGTGTTCTTATACATAAACTTGGAATTGAACCAGTTGGTATTCTGGTGGCTTACATTAAATTGTAACTTTTGCAGAGAAAATCTGGCGACTGATATGTACCTGGTCTCCCAAATGGATAGTGACCAGTATGTGCCAATACTGACTGTAGCAAATCTTGACCACGTGAAGAAGCTGAGCACAGATGTGGACTTGATTATTGACGTTCTGAGATGTAAGTTTGTTGAATTTTAGTATACAAGCAATATTTTGAAAAGAATTATTGCTGAAAATATCCTGTGATTTGTTTAGCATTGCCTTTGGTCCAAGTGGATGAGAAGGGAGAGAAAGTCAGGCCAAATCAAAACCGCTGCATCGTAATTCTACGTGAAGTACCAGAGTCGACGCCCATTGAGGTATGAATTAATAAAAACTAAAACATTTCCAGCCTAAACATTAGAAACGAATAATACAGTCAAACAATCAATGGCAGTCCCACTATTGGACTGCTATCTGCTACAACGACTGAGCAGATCCAGCACATTGTCACAAGATGGTCAGTAACTTGCGCCCCATGCCCAGTGTAAAGGAGATTAAACAGATATTTATGGTGCCTAAACCCCACACTTGCTGACCTCTTCCTACCAGATTCATAAGAGGAATCCAGGATCATTGTTAAACATGTGTAATTGTTGAAGTACAAATTTAATAGGCAACTCAGTTTTTGAAACATTATATTTAGAGTCAGATATACAGCACAGAAACAGACCCTTTTGGTCCAACCCATCCATGCCAAACAGATATCCTAAACATCGTCTAATTTTTCCAGCATTTGGCCCTATCTCTTTAAACTTTTCCTATTCATTAAACCCATCTGGATGCTGCCTTAAATGTTGTAATTGTACCAACTTCTTCCACTTCTCCTGACCGTTTATGCCATATGTGCACCACCCTCCACGTGGAAAAAGTTGCCCCTTAGGCTGCTTTTAAATCTTTCCCCTTTAGCCTTAAACCTATACCCTCTAGTTTTAGATGACTCCACCCTGGGGAAAAGACCTTGTCTATTTACCCTATCCATGCCCCTCATGGCTTTGTAAACCTCTAGAACGTCACCCCTCAGCCTCTGCACCAGGGAAATTAGCCCCAATTTATTAATCCTCTCCCTATAGCTCAAACCCTCCAACCCTGGCAACATCCTTGTAAATCTTTTCTGAACCCTTTCAAGTTTCACAACGTGCTTTGTATAGCAAGGAGGCCAGAATTGCAGGGTTGCAAGAGGGGCTTAACTAATGTCACGTAGAGCCTCAACATAACCTCCCAACTCCTATGCTCAATGCACTGATCAATAAAGGCAACTGCCTTCACTATCTACCTGCAACTCCACTTTCAAGGAAGTATGAACCTGCACTCCCAGGTTTCTCTCTTTCAGCAGCACTTCCCAGGATCTGACCATTAAGTATAGAAGTCCTAACCTGATTTTAATTTTCCAAAATGTAGCACCTCACATTTAAATTAAACTCCATCTGCCACTTGGCCCATTGGCCTATTTGATCAAGATCGTGTTGGGGAAGTCTGTCGTGTAGAGAATGGAGAATACAGAATATTCTGCTATAATTAGTGTTCTATCAATGTGAATTGGCTACAATGTGACTGATGAATAGGGGAATGCCAATTCTAAAATGTGAATTTGTGTTGGCTGTAACAGTTCCATCAGTGACCTTAATGTTGATGTTTTGGAAGAAGTTTCACTGAGGAGGATAAGGATGGTGTTCTTCAATTTTGGAAGACCTATAATATCAAGAATGCAGTTGACGTTGTCATGCAGGGCTGGGGTCATGTCATTAAGGGCTGCTTGCATGCAGTTTGGTGGAAGCTTCTCTCAGGTGTTTGAGATTTTAAAGGCTTTGATCCATCAGAGGAGCTCAAGAATCAAAGAACTTTGTGCTTATCTTGCAAGACAAGTTGGATTTGAAGTGGAGAGAGGATGAAGAGTTGCTTGAGTCCCATTATGAAGACCTCTACATCGGATCCATAACAAATTTGTGACTGAGGTGGAAGTGGAAGTTGGAGATGAAGTCCAGGATGCGGCACCACAAGACCTTTCCACTTCTATTTTGTCTTCTGCCCTGTGGGAAATTGAGAAGCAGTTGCAGTTCTTGCAGAACAGCGATTGCAATGCAGAATGCAGCAGGGTAATAGTTTGTGGGATAAGATTTTATTAGGCACCCTATGAACAGCTGCTTCATGAAAGCAGAAAAAGGGCAAAGCAGCAAATACTGGTTTTCTTTTATTTTTAAGCCAACTCCCAAGGAACAGTCAGACCATGAACCACAGCCATCCACTTATGGATTAACCATTTTTCACCCCAACCCTGCAACCACAACTACACCTGAAGCTTGTGATGATGACTACCTTCAGCCCCTGCATTAACAAAGCAACCTCCAAAACCACTTCCCCCATCAAGTCATGTTGACATTTTTTTTGATAAGGTGTTAAATTTACTTTTTAAGATATAAATTAAACACGTTTTATTCAAACTGTCCTTGTGTTAGGCTCTTAAGTGACTCTCTTTTTTGTGGTCTGCCCCAACCCTGCTTTTCCCATAGGCCCTGTAACTTGTATAAGCGTGATTTTCTATAACGCGATGTTGCGCAAGAACAACAATCATGTTATAGCAGAATCCCCTGTAACTGGTTTCGTCAGGGTGGTAAATCTTTCAAGTAGAAAGAGCCATTTCTAGTTAAAATGGCATCAGTCATTAGATTTGTTTGTGAAAATTGTAGCTGTCTTCTCTTCCCCACCCCCCCAGTTTAATGTCTAATGGGAGCCAAGATTGAGATCTGGTGATTGTTACTTAAGTTAAAGTTTTTCTACTTCTGAAAGTTGTTTTCTCCTTGCCAGTATTGGATAAATTTATGACCATCTTCAAAGGATTCTTTTGAAGTTTGAAGACTTGTTTCTATCTTTAAATAAGTGCCAACTAATACTTTTCCAGGAGGTAGAAGCACTCTTCAAAGGAGAAAATTTCCCGAAGTTCATGAGTTGCGAATTTGCCTACAACGACAACTGGTTCATCACCTTTGAATCAGAGGCTGATGCACAGCAGGTAAAAACAAATTACTAGCAAGATTTTGATATATAGTTTGTTTTAATTACTTTAATGTAGACTTTCACAGTACTGTTTGAATTGATTGTTTCACATCTGTCCAACTTTCACTTGTGGGAGGTAGGTCAAAAGTGCCAGGTTAAAGACGTTGACCTGTTTTTCTACCAACAAGCATAGAATCCAATTAGGTGATTTCATGTAAAATTCAATTAAACTTATTAGCACAACAGTTGCTAAATCAAAAGCTGAACAACGGTGTCTGTGAAAATATAAGATAATACTCTGCAAGTGCAGTAGAGGGTGCTCTTCCAGCTGAGACAGATGAAGGACACGTTACACTGAAATTCAGTGTTTGACCAGGCAATGGTCAGTGTTAACTTTGGGTATTTTGTGACACATTCCCAATTTTGTGGGCTAAGCACTCATTACATGAAAAAATAAAATGGCACGAGAATGGCCAAAGTGCCTAGTTTGCTTAAAATCTTCAATAGTTATATAGCCGTTTGCATTGCTCAGAGCAGTATTAATCTCAAGTTGGCCTGTAAATAAGTTGATCTGTTATTTAAAATAACACTTGTCTTTTTCTCATTAGTCTAATTTTCTGAAGTTTCATGTTTGAAATTTAGCAGTGTGGGCATTGAGTTGATGTCTGAGATTAGGTGGATGGAATGAATGGTTGTGGTGTCGAACTTCTTCAATGTTGGAGTTGAACTCCACTTGGCAAGTGGAAAGTATTCCATCACACTCATGACTTGTGCCTGCTGGTCTTTGGGAGGGTTGCTGTAGGTTTCCTAGCCTCTGACCTCTTGTCGATTTTTTGAAGAATAACATTAAGCAGGGTTAGCTGAGCTTGTTTATGAATGAACTCCAAGTTCTGAGCCTGTTTATCCCTTAAAGTTCTGCTTTAAGCCTTTGTGACTAGATTTTTTTAAGTGTAGTTGATGGCAAACTTTTTTGTCTTGGGACGTACCGTCAAAATGAAATTGAATGTATTTGAAAGGCAGGTGGTCTCTGCAGTTATTTAATGAACAGGAATGAAATTCTCCATGTGGGAACTGCATTAGAGCAATTTCTGGAAGCTCCTATTTAAGTACCTTTTGAAGCCTGTGACCTCTTCCATGTAGAGTGCTGAGTAGCAGACACCTGGGATGCACCTCCACCTGCAAGTTTCCTTCCAAGTTGAGCACCATCCTGACTTAAATCATGCTTGCTTAACTGTCATTGGTCAGCTGGGGAATTTCCTCTTGAGTAGCCATAGGTACACAAGATGAACTGTATCAGGTTATTGCCTTCTCTGGGATGAGCATTTAATGTTGCCCTTTCTAATTGTGCCCCAGGAATAATTTTATTCAAATGTAACTAGCAAGCTACTGACATTTGAACTCTAATTTTAATGGAGCAGCATTCCTACAGAGTTGAGCTGACATTTTAACTGTAAATGTAGTACACTTGTGTAATTTATCCTGAACAACACTGTCAGATTTAGTGTTAGGATGTGAGTGGCCAGTTTACCATCTAACTTAACACTTATTTTGGTCAGGCTTACAGGTATCTTCGAGAAGAAGTTAAAACCTTCCAGGGTAAGCCTATAAAGGTAAGAGTTTAGTAATACTTGAAGCTGATTCATTCTTTATTTATTCTGTTCATCAGGGTAAGTGTCAAGTGTTTTGTTTTTCTTGTTGCAGGCAAGGATTAAAGCAAAGCCAATGGCTATCAACACGTTTCTACCAAAGAATGGTTACAGACCTCTTGACATGAACCTATACACTCAGCAGAGGTACACATCGTTTTATGTGCCTCCAATATACAGTCCCCAACAGCAATTTCCACTTTATAGCCTTCTTACTCCACAGTCCTGGTCAACAACACATAGCTATCTGGATCCTACTTTGGTAAGTATAATGCATGTGGAAACTTTAAAACTACTGATCGTTTTGCCACTTCAGAATTCATCTGTGAATAGTATGACCGTGTTAATTGACTTGATTTCTCTTGAATTTGTTGTATCGTAATGACCAAGGTTCAAACTGCAATGGAATAAATCTTTAAATGCAAAAATTGGGCCAAATTAGAGTAGACAAACAGGAGGCTGGAAGAAGACAGCAAGCCAGGCAGCATCTGAAGGAAAGGAGCAGTCACCGTTTGGATATAAACTTGCTTCAGGACTGGATATGGGGTTGGGGGAGCTGCAGATAGCAGGGAATGAAGTAGGTGCAGGCAAAATGATAGGTGGACACTGGTAATAGGTATGACCTGGTTGGTTGGTGACTGGAAGGGAGGGTCAGAAGGTGGAAGGTGAGCCAGGGGATGAGTGGGAAGGTTATCTTGAGATCGGAGAACTTGATGTTGCATCCTCCTGGCTGTAGGTTGCCCAGGCAGAAGATAAGGTGGTCTTCAAATATGCATTGAGTTGCTACGATACTAGAGGAGGCTGAGGACAGACATGTCAGAGGGGGAGGAAAGTCCATGTGAAGAAGGGTTATACCTGAAATGTTGACTGCTCCTTTCCTCCAGATGCTGCCTGGCATGCTATGTACTTCTAGCCTACTGTTTGTCTACCTTGGCTTCCAGCATCTGCAGTCTTTTTGTCTCTTCTGCACTTCAAAACTCTTTGATTGCTGAATACCACTGAAACATACCAGAGAGAACTGTTTTGACACTTGCGTTCTACCTGCCTCTTAAATTTGGAAGATCCAAGTGTAGAACTGATTATCCACAGAGCATATTGTCTTGGTTTTTCTGTCATGAGTTGATTTTTTGAGGAAAGTTGTTTCTTCCTTGGCTTTACATTAATATGCTGCTGTTCACTAGTTGAAGGCACAGGTATCATTTTGCTTTGATTTCTGCCTATTCTCTCTAAGAACTTCTAGAAGTTGCATGGTTTAATGTTTATTTGATGCAGTATTTGTTCACCGGGTGGCTTCCATCCAAAAGCTCACTAATTCAGCTCTGAGCCATACACTGGTAAGTTACATGGTGACTCATTCTAAAGGAGGGGCAGAAGCCCATACGGAGTCTCTCCATTTTAATTGTTTGACTCGACCTTGGGAGCCCTTGGGTAGGGAAACTAATGAAACAGTACACTCATTGCCACACAGTTGGGCTAAGCTCAGGAAGTTTTCATTGCTCTTCATTTACAGTGCAGAAGCTACATATTGATCTTGAGGTGAGTAAGATTTTTGCAATTAGTAAACATTCTTCAAATAGCTTGTTTACAGTCTTTATCTTCAGGACACTGAGGGGAAGGTATTGACTGACTTGCTCAGTTTTGTTAAATGCTGCAGAAGATCACAAGATGTGTATTGTGCTGGGCATCAAAGGGATAACAACCCACTCACAATGTGATAGTTTCTGCCTTGATTTGAAAGGAAAGCTTGATGGAATACTGTTAAGTGTGACCCAAGTATTAACACTGTTTTTGCTTCTTTCTGTTATTCTGCAAGAATCTTGTCAAATGTTTGGTTCTATTCAATTTATTAATGCAGTTAATTGGCTCATGCAGTGACCTGGAAATTTCAGCTTGTATTGACTGCTGCCAAATTGCTGGGCAAGAGAAGAGCTTTTAAAAGCTTGGAATCAGTGTTACTTCAAGATAGCTGTCTGATATTCAATTAAGATTGGACCAAGATGTATATTGCACTAGTAACGAAAACTGTTTCTTGAATGTAGAACAGCTCCACCATCAAGCAATGGAACTCTTTCCCAAAAAGAATTAGTAAAAAGCAGGGGCTCTTAGCTTAAAGGATTAAGGAAGCTTTTTGTTTCTGTTGAGATTGAGTAACTGGAATTGCTTAAAACATGATGTAGTTGGCTTTATAGGGAGTACACAATGTAGGAACATATAAAATGAGTTGACTTAGGCCATTTGACCCCTTGAACCCGCTTTGCCATTCAGTAAGACCATAGCTGATCTATTTGTTATCAATAATTCCACATTCTCATCTATCTCTAACCATTTAATATCTCAGCCTAACAAGAATCTGTCCACCCCTTAAATATATAACCCTGCCTCCACAGATGCATGAGACGGAGCATTCTGTAGTTGTACAATCCTGAGACAATTTTACTTCATTTCTGTCCTGAAAAGGATGACCTCCAACTTTAAGAACTGTTTTCAACTGACCTACAAGAGGAAACCTGCCTCTCATCATGATTTTGTCAAGACCATTCTGGATCTTCTGCATTTCAGTTAAGCTCACTCTCTCTCGCTTCTGAACTTGGAGCCCAGCCTGTCCAACTACTTAAAGCAACCCACTCTATTCCAGGTATCAAGCCTAGTAAACTTGCTCTGTACTGTCTCCAATACACTTTTTGCTTACATTCTTAAGACAACCAAAACTGCGGGCAGCATTTGGGATGTGACCTCTTTCACAACTGAAGTATGGCATCTTTAGTTTAATGTTTGGTTTCTCTTTTTTAATAAATAATAACATCCCACTAGCTGCATACAACTTGTGACTTTTGCACTAAAACATCTGAACCCCGCTGCCATTGTCTGCAAAATTCCACATTCTTCATTCTCTACCAAAGTGAACAACTTCACACTTTCTCAAATGCGCCATCTGCCAGAGTCTTGCTTACTGAACCTATCTGCAAATACCATATGTTTTTAGTGTATTTTCCTAACTGTCTTGGTACTGTCTGTATTTAACTACTATCCTTCCTTTGTGCAAGTCGTTGAGGTAAATTATAAAAAGTTGAGGGACTAGTGCATGTTCTGGAGGGTATCACTTAACAAATCCTGCCAATCAGGTGACTGATCCGTGTATAAGATAAGCGTGGAGCTGGAGGAACACAGCAGGCCAGACAGCATCAAGAGCAGGAAAGCTGACGTTTCTGGTCGGGACCCTTCAGGAAAGGAGGAAGGGTCCCGACCAGATAGGTCAACTTTCCTGCTCCTCTGCTGCCTGGCCTGCTGTGTTCCTCCAGCTCCACATTTGTGTCTTATTCCAGCATTGGCAGTTCTTAATATCACTGATCCATATATACTGTTTTCGGCCAGGGTGGTCTTGGTGAGTTATTCCATCTTTTTAGCCTTAAAAAAGAACTGTGCTGGTTTTGTCAAATATTGTCCACATTATTGTGACAGTTCTTGGACACTCTCAATTTTACATTTCTTGTGCTCTGCATTAGTTTACTAATTCCCTTGATTCTGTCAGTATACATAACTTCCAGTGTCCCAAGTGTTTGATCTACAATGCCATTTAGCATGGTGCAGCCTGAGTCACTATTTACTTTGCAGGCAAAATAATGGGCTGCTATTAAATTATCTTGCCATTTGTGCCTCTCAATTGAAGGACCAGATTTAGTTCAATGCATTTGCAGCTAGGCATACTTAAAAATGGATTCTTAACCCTACTGAAAGGCCATTCTTGTCAGGTTTATAGCTGTGGGGTTTTCCTTTTTGACCACTTTTCTGCAGCATTTGAGACACTTAAATTTCACATGTTTATGACTGATTTTAAGTTCTTTGGATTTTGTCTGAAGCTAATTATTAACTTGTCTGGGTAGCCATTGTTACTAAGATGTTTATTTGTTTCATTGCAGTGCACTACTTTTGCAGCGCTATTGGATTTTGATTTGCCTTGCATCTTGTAGAACTTGGGTGAAGCATTGTGCTTTATGGTCTATTAGGAATGTGTTGACTCCTTTTATTTGAAGGAAACTTTTTTAGTTGATTTTTGTTTTGGGTGGTTCAGTGAAAAGTTTTAGGGCAGTGATCCTGAAAAGAGTAGAGTAAAGGAAAACTAGGCTTGATCAGAAAGGGATCACTAATCTGGACTAAGGCCCCCTTGCCCTTGCCCTCGCCCTCCTTTTTCTCTTTTTCTTTTCTTTTCTTTTTTTTTGTTTCTCCTCCTCTTCTTCTTTCCTCCTCCACCGCCGGCCCCCCACCCCACCAACCTCCCTTTCCCTGTAACCGGCAAAGGTGCAACACCTGCCCATTTACCATCTGTCTTGGGCTTGCTGCAGTGTTCCAGCGCAGCTCAATGCAAGCTGAAAGAGCAATACCTCACTTTCCACTTGCGGACCCTGCAGCCCTCTGGACTCCATGTACGGTTCAATAATTTTAGGGCCTAAATTCTCCTGTGTCCCAGCCCCCCTACTCCACGCACCAGGCATTGTTATCACAGTCTGCCATTACACATAACCTATTGTTAGTCACTAATAGTCCCCATTAACAACTATTGACCCTCCCAGCCTGATCATTATCAACTTTTTTTTTCTATCCAACTGCTCTTCTCTCTCCGGACTCTATCCTATCACTTTACTCCCTGTGCCAAGTCCCTCCCAATTTTCTGCATTTAAGCTGATGTTTTCCCAGCCACCACCAGTTCTGAGGAAGGGTCACCGGACCCAAAATGTTAACTCCGATTTTCTTTTCACAGATACGGCCAGACCTGTAGAGCTTTTCCAACAACTTCTGTTTTTGCACTAATCCCCCATGTGTTGGGATGAAATTCCGAAGAGATGTATTGAAGTAGAGTATGTGTAAGGTTGAGGTTTACTATCTGCATTCTAGGAACTAAAACTTAACTTGAGCCTGGTGGGTATGAGAAAATGAGTACAGTAAAAGGCATGTACAAGAGATGTTTTCCGTTGCAACTTGTAAATGTATTTTGGGATTGGTGGGATATTAACTTGTACGTTAAATTTCAGTGTTTTCAAAAACAAAAATCAGAGAGACCACTTAATTAAAACAGACACAAAACATGAGCCATCCAGTTAGGTTTCCAATCTGTGTAATCAGACTTGTCTAGTAATATCAAGTCGGGTTCAGAGCAATTCCTCTTGATTTTCTCCACAGCAGGGGTGGTTTGAATATATGCAAACTGACAGAAGCTACTTTGGTGATCCTTCAGTCTGTCATATCATGCTACTTGAACACCATGAC